AACCTCTAAACAAGATCAAGAAAGGCTCGGTAGCGGATGGTCCGCATCTGCACTCTGTACATCGATGTCCGTCAAACATCAAGCAGACGACGCCTGTTCGATTCAGGCCCAAGCCATGTACTCAGTGGCGCCATCAGGAAAACGCAAAGTTGCCAGATAGCTCCACATAGTCCCACATAGTCGACATAGCGGCCATAGCAAAAAGCCCACTCTGAGAGAAAGGCGGGGGTGGGTGTTGAAATTCATAGCCCACCATAGCACAGGTATTGGCTATCATAGTGGCCATAACCATACCGCTCATAGCGGCTCATAGTCATAGTCAATAGAATAATAATAGTATCAAAAAAAAACAATATTTCACAATCTATTACTAAAACAACCTTTTAGTTCCTTAGATCTCGGATTGACTTCATTTCTTATAACTGACTGGGTGACTTTCCATAAGCATAAACAATTCTACAAGCATTATTTTCAGCGGTTTTGCCGAGAAGCCGAGACAGCTGTCAGGACCCCATCGGACTTGGATCTCACATTTTCTGTTTTCGACCCTCTTGTAAACCTTAATTTATTATAATCTGGAGGGGGGGTAGGGACCCACCATCCAGATTATATTTCCTGTTGAATAAACGGATTTGGCCACATCGCCGACCTGCCTGACCAAATTGGGCTGTATGTCACAATGATCACACCTGTCACCGTTCTCTTCGGCTCTTGATTTGACGTCCGAATCCAACATATGATCTCATTCCATGCCTGCCATGTTCCCTAAGTGTTCAAAGACTCTGTATAATAAAGTATTGCCTATTGAACGAGGCCACACCACTTTCCTGTCGTCGATCGGATGAGAACGAACAAGCGATGAAGACTTATCACCTCTCGCCGAAGCTGCCGAAAATGCATCCGGTGGAGCACTCCAGCTTTTGAAGCCAGGACACGTCGGTTGGTGGTGCAAAGGGAGGCGAAGGACAGAAAGAGCCGCGTTAACCAGGATATGCAGCTATTCTATTCTGCAGCTTGTGGGAACCCACTCGAACTAGATTTTTCGGATTAAAACCAGATGCCGACATCGTTGGCACCGCTCAGATAATCCAAAAAACATATTTTATGCTTATGGAAAGTCACCCACTGTAGTAGGTGTATTATTATTGTACTGACTTGATGTGTGAATAATGTACTTAGATGTGTTTTCTACAAGGCTCGAACGGGCGACCTTCCGGTTTTGGCAAAATATGAAGTAAAGCAATATAACAAGTAGACTAAAGCAAATATAGAAGAAAGGTTTTTGATCAGTATATGAGGTGGGTGGAAGGTCCAACCACAATAAGCAACTCAAAAGACTCGTGTCCGAAAAAGTATTTCGTGTTTTACGAGCTAACAAAGCTGTAGACCATAAAAGTGCCTTAGACACTTCTTGTAGAGCTCAATGAGCTCTACAACTTTGGTTTTGTGTATATTTTTTGATCAATGTATAAGGTTTTTGAAAAAGCATTATATTGAGGAGAACAACAAACATTAGGTTGCAAAAAAAGAGTGTTAGATTAGACGCAAGAGAGACAGCAATTTGTGGCCCTAGATATCTCCTGATGCCTCAAATTCTCCCGATAGATCTCCATAGTTCGGAATATTATTAATCGGTTTCCATAGATGTTGAGAGTTGAAACCAGAATGTATAGACCGCCAGAGCCTCCCAGAGCACAATATAGCGCCCTGTCTCGCTCTCATAGCCTGTCATAGCCCCCCATAGCTGCCCTATGGTCTATGGAGCTACTTTGGATTTTCCTGATGGCATCACCATTTTTTTTTTCTTTCTTTTTTTTCATTATTCAAATGGGATTAAGGGCAAAGGGAGAGCAAAAAAGGGCTCGGTAGCAGACGGTTCTGCATCTGCTCTCTGTCCTCCAGTCGCTGAAACCATTGTTGCAGATTCCACCTGTTTGACTCAGGCCTGAGCCAAGGTGTTGAGTACGAGGAGGATGATGAAAGCGATGAAAGTTATTCTATACGCAATGGTTCGAGTGACTCGACGTCAGACCATGAGTCTGCCTTGTCGTCTACATCTGGTCAGGGGAGCGAGGAGCCTGAAGACTGCAAGTGGGAGGCCGATCATGAAAATACCTTGGCCGTTTATGATCAATTGATCAATTAATCCGATTTTAACTTGTTCAATGTATTTTTTCTGCATGAGTTTTGCTGTCAAATTTTAAACCCAATGCAGTATAAAGCCTCGGCAGAAAATTTGTAAAATAGGACAAGGAATGTGCTCCCCACCCGAAGAAAAATTGCATCTGCAAGTCCAAAGTGAATATGTTACATTTTGAATTCCGACTTTTGCGCCTTAGACCACTCGGCCATGCTGCCATTGCTGTATTATTTCAACAAAAAGAGATGGTAGCAGAACATGTCCAGAGCCGTCTTACCATAGAGATATATATTTGAAAGTTCTTCCTGTCGGATATAATTTCTGCAAGCTTATAAACACTGACTTGACACCGAAACCAAATCTCTGGTGTGGTGTAAACTTCGCTTTCCCAATCAGGGTCGCTATATGTTTGTTCAGCGTAGTGGACAAACAATAGGGACAGTCAGAGTAGACGCTTCAACGGTGCTTCAGCCATGTGCTTCAAAAGTGCTTAAGGAATTATTTTCCGAGCATAAGCGTGGGATAAGCACTTCTGGCTCTGACCGTCCCATTTTGAATTGCGCTTCAGAGGTACTTCAGATGTGCTTCAGGTACAATGATTTATTGCTGATGAGCATCAGCTCTGAAGCGACATGCTGAAGCACATCTGAAGCACGTCGAAGCACCTCCAGAGGCGCTTCGACGCTTCGAATGTGCTTCAACATTTCGACGCTTTTCCCACGTTTTAATAAATCCTGAAGCACTCGTGAAGCATCAGCTTAAGCACCACTGAAGCATCTACTCTGACTGTCCCTATTATTTCTCTGCTCTCGTGTTTTTTTTTTTTCACCTTTTTTTCTTCTTCATCAAATCTCTCACTTATTCAGCTTCTAAACAGGGCTAAGAAAGGCTCGGTAGCGGATGGTCCGCATCTGCACTCTGTAACTCTCTTGCTTCCCAAGGATCAAGCAGACGATGCCTGTTCGACTCAGGCCCGAGCCGAATATGTACAAAACCCAGCCCAGCCCACCCAAAAATTTACAAGCCCAGCACATTCAGATCAAACCTGGATCAAACCCGGCACATTTAAACAAATGTGCCGTGTCTGTTTCCAAAAGCATCACTTTGTCATCACACTGCCATCAAACCATCAAATCTCGGCAGTACTATTCCTTCAGCCGTGTTCTTTTTTTTCTATATCCCTGAACCCTGACATTAACCACCTAACCTTAACCAAACACTAACCCCGTAACCACTAACCACTGCTAATACCCGGAGTTCTGTGCTTGCCCTAACTCCTCGAAAGCAAACAGACAAGGTGATACCGAAAGCAGGGCACAGGCGATGCCGAGGACGGCAGGATTTGAACACTCTGATGCATTGATCCATGGGTGCACGTCATCTGATCACAAACACGGCACATTTCAATCAAAGTGCCGCTTCTGATGGAAATGTGCCGCCTCTGAAATGTTTGGGTGGGCCGGGTTTTGTACATCCCGGCCCGAGCCATGTACCCACTGGTACGTCACCATTTTTTCTTTTCCTTTTTCCTTTTCTTTTTCTTTTTTCATTCTTCAAATGGGATTACAGATGACACTCATCAAACTTTGATGAATAAGAACAAATTTGATGTGCCAGATTGCCGAGCTCGTTTCTCAATCATTTCTCGGCCGTTTACCTTGATTTTAGGTGCGTTGAAAAGCGGTTAAGCGGCGCTTTTGAATGCTATGCATTATGCACGGTAGATTGAGAGAATTACATACCTGAAAATTCAGGCTGTCTTGTTCAAATGGGACACGCCGACGGCCCGTTCTCAATCAGTTGTGGGCCGATTCCCTTGAATCCAGATGATATTGAAAGCTGAAATGTAGGCAACCAAGTGTGAAACATCAAAATTTGTGGCACACCCCACCTGCAGCATCAAGAATGAAATTAATTTGTGCTATCATCAGTTCATTCTATAGTACTGATTTCGATGTGTAACCAAAATGTCAAATTTGTGCAGCCTGTGCCTCTACATCCCTGTTTATATGAATCCAAAATAATCTAAATTGGCTTAGAATTGACCAAGTAATGCCCAATTTAAGCTGGGGTTTGAAACGGGTAAACGGGAAGATACAAGATTCTATGTTTGAGGAATTATCCTCCATGGCTTGTACTACTAGAAAGCCCTGTTTAACCGCTCTCGAACGCAGCTAAAGTCAAGCAAAATGGTCAGGAAGCAGGCAAGAAATGAGCCCGGCAATCCAGCGCATCAAATTTGTTCTTTTTCATCAAAGTTTGATGAGTGTCATTAGTTTTGCAAACAGCTGTAAATAAGAGGCAAAAAGAGATCAAGAAAAGGCTCGGCAGCAGACGGTTCTGCATCTGCTCTCTGTCCTCCAGTCTCTGAAACCATTGTTGCAGATTTTCACCTGTTCGACTCAGGCCTGAGCCTTTATCTTTGCACTCTCAAGTTTTTCTTTCACCTTCATTTCCTCATCGACTGCCAGTGGCTCATGTATGAACCTCTGAACAAGATCAAGAACAGCTTGGTAGCGGATGGCCCGCATCTGCACTCTGTACATCTACGGCTGCCAAGCATCAAGCAGAGCGATTCAGGTCCAAACCATGCCCCCTTATCTTCAGCCCTTTTTTCACCTTTTTTCACTCATTGACCGGCTCATGTACGTGTTGAACTTTTAAATGAACCTCAGAAAGGCTCGGTAACGGACAGATTCACATCTGCTTTTGATAATGTATATATCATATTATGATGTGGACGACACCCCTGTTCAAACTTCAACCCAGGCCATGGATCTTCTTTGGATTTATTTTCCTTTCCTGTTACTTTCTCAAGACTGAATAGTCTTGTATTTGAGGTTGAACAAGAGGCAGAAAAGGCTTGGTAGTGGACGGATCCACATCTGCTTTCCATACGTGGGAACTGCTCGAAGGATCATATGATGCAGACAATGCCTGTTCGACTCAGGCCCGAGCCATATTATCTCTCATCACCTCTTTTTTTTAGCTTTTTTACCTAATCCACTGGCTCATGTATTGAACCTCTAAACAAGATAAAGAAAGGCTCGGTAGTGGACGGATCCACATCTGCTGTCCATACGTGGGAACAGCTCGGAGGATCATATGATGTAGACAATGCCTGTTCAACTCAGGGCCAAGCCATTATGTCTTTCTTGTCTCCCTTTTGTTTCAACCTATTTTCCGCATCTACTAGCTCACTCACTCTATTAAACAAAGGCCAGAAAGGTTTAGTAGTGGATGGTCCGCATCTGCGTTCCATTGTGGGCTTTGGTCTAAGAATATGATACAGATGTGCCTGTTTCAACTCAGGCCCGAGCCATTCTTCTCGCAGCTCTGCCATTTTTTAAAACTTCTAAACAGAGCCCAGAACAGCTCAGTGGCGGATGGATTGGCTTCTGCACTCTGCACTCAACACTCTGCACTCACTGTTCTACTCCAAAGCATCAAGTAGACAACACCTGTTCGATTCAGGCCTGAGCCATTCTTGTATCATCTCTGGCATTTTTTTTCCAGTTACTTTCGCAAGATTGTCTTGTGATGTGATGAAGGGTTAATGCACTCAGGAAAGGCTCGGTAGTGAACGGATCACATCTGCTCTCTGTGAGCCAATATTTGAATTTCCTGTTGCAGATTTCACCTGTTCACCTCAGGCCCAAGCAATGGCCACTTTTCTTCACCCTTTTTTTTCAACCTTTTTTTTCCTCATCAACTGGCTCGGCGCATGTATTGCACTTCTAAACAGAGTCCAGAATGGCTTGGTAATGGACAGATCCGCATCTGCTTTCCATTGTTGTGTCTTTAGGAATCGAATATGATGCAGACTACACCTGTTCGACTCAGGCCCGAGCTATGATGCCTCCTTCACCTTTCTTTTTTCGACCTTTATTTCCACCTTGACTACCTTATTTAATGTATTCGACTTCTAAACAAAGCCTAGAAAGGCTCGGTAGCGGACGGTTCCGCATCTGCACTCTGTACATCGATTGTTTCCAGGCATCAAGCACATGACATCTGTTCGATTCAGGCCCGAGCCATGGTTTGTTTCTGCATCCATTTTTTTCCATCTTTTTTCGCTCATCAACTGGCTCATGTACATGTTTAATTTCTAAACAAAGCCAAGAACGGCTCGGGAGTCGGTGGCGGACAGATCCGCATCTGCTTTCCTTATCTTTGGTCCGAGGAACATGATGCAGACATATATAGCCCATTCAACTCGGGCCTGAAGCATGATTTGGATTTATTCATCCGGCATTTTTTTCCCCTTGGTTACTTTCACAAGATTGTCTTGTAGTTGAGGTTGAAAAGAACTCTACGAAGAGCTCGGTAGTGATCGGATCACATCTGCTTTCGATATATGAAATCTGACCATAAGATGTAATGCAGACATAGCCTGTTCAACTCAGGCCCGAGGCATTGTCATTTCTTTGTGCCTTTTTTCCCACCTTTTTAGCCTCATCGACTGCCAGTGGATTATGTATTGAACAACTTCTTAACAGAGCCTAGGACAGTTCAATAGTGGGTGGTTCTGTATCTGCTGATCTGCTGTCCATTATATAGGCATAGGGTTGCAATGGAGACAACACCTGTTTGATTCAAGCCCGAGCCATTTCCTGCTCATATCTGGCTTTTTTATTTCTGGTTGCTTTCACAAGATTGTCTTGTATGTCAGTTTGAACAAGAGGCAGAAAAGGCTCAGTAGTGAACAGATCACATCAGCTTTCCTTCAGATTTGTGTGAAGATGTTACTGGAGACAAACCTGTTTGACTCAGGCCTGAGCCATAGATCTTGTTGTGATCCTTTTTTTTTTTTCCCCTTGTATTTGAAGAACTTGTTCCAAATCGTAATTATGAGCAAAGGGGGAGAATAAAAGGCTTGGTAGCGGATGGTTCCACATCTGCACTCTGTAAGATATCTCTGATGAGCCCAAGCAGATGATGCCTTTTCAATTCAGGCCCAAGCCATTCTATGTATCTCTTGCTCTCTTTCTTCACCTTTTTTTCCTTCATTGACTTGGTCATCCTGATGCATTGAACAAGCCAGCTGAGAGCGGCTCGGTAGCAGATGGTTCCGCATCTGGGCTCTGTAATATATCCTGTCAATGAAGAGCATCAAGCAGATGACACCTGTTCGACTCAGGCCCAAGCAATATTAACTCCCTCATTCTCTTTTTTCACCTTTATTTCCTCATCGACTGGTTCACTTATTACTTATTTAGCTTCTATAAAAGCTAAGAAGGATCGGTAGTGGATGGTTCTGTATCTGTTTTCAATACATAGAATGTGACCGGGACTGCTGAATGCAGAGCACACCTGTTCGACTCAGGCCTGAACCATATCTTCTTTCTGTATTCTTTTTTTTCACCTTTATCTCCTTATTGGCTAGTTCATGTATTGAAAAACTTCTCAACAGACCCCAGAATGGCTTGGTAGTGGATGGTATGCATCTGCTCTGGGTAGCCGGATGGTCCCAAAATTACATGCAGATGCCTGTTCGACTCAGGCCGGAGCCATGAGATAGTTTCCTTCTCACCTTTTTTTTCACCAATGTTTCCTCATCGACTGGCCCTTACTTCTTCCGCTTTGAAACGAAACCAAAAGCAGCTTGGTAGCAGCATGTGCTGTCCACAATATTTTCCAGGTGTGCCTCAGGCCCACCTGAACCATAATCTCTTCACTTTCTGCCTTTTTTTTTTTTTTTTTTTTTTTTTGACATCTTGTTTCGTCATCAACTGGCTCATGTTCACTTGTTCAGCTTTGAAACAGAACCTAGAATGGCTTGGTAGTGGACAGATCCACATCTGCTCTCACATTGTTGCAGATTTCCCTGTTCGACTCAGGCCTGAGCCATAACTGAATCTGTTCTTCCCTTTTTTCTTCATTGACTAGTGCATGTTCACTTACTCAGCTTTTAAACAGAGCCCTGAAAGGCTCAGTAGCGGACAGTCCACATCTGCTTTCCATACTCCTGGGACATATTGTTGTAATTATAGATTGGCAGCTCGGCCTTCGGGCATTGATTAGTAACGCCGACAGTTCAAGTAGGAACAAGTAGAATATTCTAGTTACATTCTGTGGTATATAAGCAGGCAGTACAATCCTGATAGAGCATCTGATTGCTCTAAAGCAGCCTTCTAATCAACAGTGCTATTGCAATCCTACCTCCTCTTATTATATTCTCGCCCCCCCGCTTATATTAACAACACATATTATGGATGTAATACAGACACCACCTGCTCAACTCAGGCCCGAGCCATAATCGTGCCGTTCTCCCTTTTTTCAACTTTTCCCTTCATCAACTGGCTCATGCATGCATTTAACTAAATTATAACAGAGTCTAGAATGGCTCGGTGGTGGGTGGTTCCAAAGCTGATTTCAATAGAGAGGGTAGAAGAAAAAATAGTGTATGCAGACTACGCCTCTTTGACTCAGGCCAGAGCCATGCATCTTCCTCCATTAATTTTTCTTTTTCTTGCTCTGCTCCCTTCAAGAAATCCAGATTTAGTCCAGTGAAACAGAGGTAGGAGAGGTTTGGTGGTGGACAGTTCCGCATCTGCTTTCCATTAAGGTGAGAATACAATGCATGCAATGCAGACAAATTACAATGCCTGTTTGACTCCGGCCCGAACCATTCCATTCTCCTCTCTGTCCCCCTTTTTTCTCCAATTTCATCCTTTCCCCACTTTGACTGGCTCATGCATTGAAATTGAAAGTAAATAACACCCAGCATGACTCAGTGGCAGACGGTTCCACTTCTGCTTTCCTTGAGATATGTCTTGTGTTCAACTCAGGCCTGAGCCATGACCCTTTTTTTCACCTTTTTTCCCTCATCGACTGGCTTACCTATCCAGCTTGTGAATAGACTCAGAATGGCTTGGTGGCAGACAATTCTACATCTGCTTTCCACAATGCCTATATTTTGAAAGTGACGTAATGCAGACATTGCAGGCTCGAGTTGGGCTCAAGCCATGATAATCTCTCTTCCTGGCTGTTTTTTCACCTTATTTCTCTCATCAATTGGATCGGTTCATGTATTAAACTTCTAAACAGAGCACAGAGTGGCTCGGTAGCGGACGGTTTCGCATCTGCACTCTGTTATGATTCTATCAACTTCAAAGCATCAAGCAGACAACGCCTATTCAACTCAGGCCTGAGCCATTCGTTTTGCAGATGCTTTTCTTCATTGTTTTTCTCTTCATCTCACTGGCACTGGCTCATGCATTGAGCTTCTATAAAAGCCAAGAAAGGCTTGGTAGCGGATGGATTCGCATCTGCTCTCTGTAAACAGGTACGAGCATTACATGCAGACTATGCCTGTTCAACTCAGACCCGAGCCATTGTCTCTTCATTTTCTGTCTTTTTTTCGACTTTTTTTCCCTCCTCATGTATTGAACTCCTAAACAAAGCCCAGAATAACTCGGTAGCGGACAGATCCACATCTGCTTTCCACATGCGCCAATCCTCTCTGGAATCTTTGTCTTTTTCGGTTATTTTCGCAGGATTGTCTTGTATTTGAGATTGAAAAGGGTTCTAGAAAGGGCTTGGTAGTGAACGGATCAGATCTGCTTTCCATACATGAAATCTGACCATAAGATGTATTGCAGATATAGCCTGTTCAACCCAGGCCCGAGGTACTATCGTCTCTTTGTGCCTTTTTTTTCACCTTTTTCCCTCATCAACTACCAGTGGCGCATTATTGAACAACTTCTAATCAGAGCTCAGAACGGCTCGGTGGTGGATGGTTCTGCATCTGCTCTTCATGAAATGGTGTTTTAATGATGCAGACGTAGCTTGTTCAACTCAGGCCCGAGCCATGTTTTCTTTCTGCATCTTTTTTCGCCCTTGTTCCCTTATTGACTGCCTCATGTACTTGTTGAACTTCTAAACAGAGCCAGGAAAGGCTCGCTAGTGGACGGTTTTGCATCTGCACTCTGTGACAAGTTCTATGAATTCCATGTTC